GCGGCATCTGCCTTAGTTGCTGAGCTTGTCGATTTTTCTGCTCGCTGTCGTCTAAACTACGCTGCTAGTCTTGTTGCTGAGTCTGAGTCCGTCTGTCCTCCGTCCGTCGGGGTTGAGTGTGCTCTTAGCATGGACGTCCTTGAGGACAGGCAGGAGGAGTTCCAGTGTTTTGCTGCTGCTTTGCCTCATCTCGTCTCCACGTTGATTGTCCCTAAGGGAGACCCGGATGCACCAGACATCCCGACTCCTCGATCGTACGCTGAGGCGATCGAGGGTCCCTACTCCTCACAGTGGCAGTCAGCCATGGACGCAGAGATGGCTTCTTGGAAGTCCATAGGCACCTACGTCGACGAGGTTCCCCCACCTGGGGCGAACATCGTCAGTGGCATGTGGATTTTCAGGGTGAACTGGCCGTCGGGTTCTACGCATGTCTTCAAGGCGCGTTACGTGGCTCGTGGCTTCAGTCAGCGACAGGGAGTTGACTACTTTCAGACCTTCTCTCCCACCCCGAATATGACCACTCTTCGGGTGCTGCTGCACATAGCCGCTCAGCACGACTACGAGCTTCACTCTCTTGACTTCAGCACAGAGATCTGGTTGCGCCGCCCACCTGGCTTTCCTAGGTCGTTTACCCCTGGTACCCAGTGGAGCCTCCGGCGGCCAGTCTACGGTCTCCGCCAGGCGCCCCGTGAGTGGCACGACACACTGAGGACTACACTTGCGGCTCTTGGGTTTGCTCCTTCTACTGCCGACCCGTCGCTGTTTCTGCGCACCGACACCTCTTTGCCGCCGTTCTACATCCTCGTGTACGTCGACGACTTGGTCTTTGCCACTGCTGACACTGCTGGACTCGCCCACGTAAAGTCCGAGCTGCAGAAGAGACACACGTGCACAGACCTGGGTGAACTGCGTAGCTACCTTGGCTTGCAGATCACCCGGGAGAGAGCACAGCGCACCATTACCCTGACTCAGTCACACATGGTGCAGCAGGTCCTTCAGCGCTTCGACTTCACGTACTCCTCGCCTCAGGCCACTCCTCTGTCTACTCGCCACTCGCTCTCAGCTCTGCCTTCGGATGAGTCCGTAGAGCCGAGTGGCCCGTACCCGGCTGCCTCATGTACCTGATGACCTGCACACGACCTGACCTTGCATACCCTCTTAGCATCTTGGCACGCTATGTTGCTCCTGGGAGACACCGACAAGAGCACATGGCTGCAGCGAAGAGGGTGTTGCGCTACTTGTGCAGTACGTCGGGCATCGGGCTAGTGCTTGGAGGGCGACGTCCAGTGGTCCTCACAGGTCACGCAGACGCTTCTTGGGCTGATGACCAGGCTACGCAGTGGTCGTCACAGGGTTACACCTTCAGCCTTGGTTCCGGCTCTGTTTCGTGGCGGTCTACTCGTTCTTCTTCTTTTCTCGGCTCCAGCTGTGAGGCTGAGATCTACGCGGGGGCCATGGCTACACAGGAGCTACGCTGGCTCACCTACCTGCTGACTGACCTAGGAGAGCCGCCTCGTTCTCCTCCAGTTCTGTACGTAGACAACAAGGCCATGTTGGCCTTGTGTCGGGAGCACAGACTGGAGCACAGAACGAAGCACATTGCTCTTCACTACTTCCTTGCTCGTGAGCTGCAGCAGCGTGGTCAGCTGCGCCTTGCTTACGTGGCCTCTGAGGCCAACACTGTGGATATCTTTACCAAGGCACTTCCGCCTTGTGATCATCAGCGCTTGTGTACGATCCTAGGTCTTGTGCCTACTTGGCCTCACTTGCTCACTTCTTGACCTTGCTTATACTGTGATCTTTCTGTACCTGCACTTGCTTGTTTACCTTTATTTATGATCTTGCATGTGAACTTTCCTTGTGGCCTTGAACTTGTGCTCGGACTGTGTGGTGACGTTGTAATCCACCCTGAGCTTGATTTGCTTTGCTTGACTAGTCTTGTGACCTCTTGTTCTCCCCCACTTTGCCTATGGGGGTGTGTCAAACTTATATGCTATAGTCTGTGTAGGCTGTAGTGGGGTAGACAATATGGGGTACAACATTTCTAGGTTTTCCTACTTGTACCCACCTCTTTCCTAGTTCATTCATTCCTCATTTCTTCACAGGAAGCTGCAGACACACAGGAGCTGCTGGCTCAGTGGCTACCGAAGCAATGCCCGGACTACAGGAGTAACTGGCTCCGTGGAGTTTGTAGCCTCCTGACTGGAGCAACTGACCCACAGGCGACTGGCGACTACTGGAGATTGTAGCCTCCGGACTACTGGTGCTGCTGGCGACACGACTGCGACCTCTGTTCAACCTCTGCCAACTGCCCCACGCCCCTAGCACACACCCCTTGCTGCACCCCTAGCTCCACTCACATGTCATCCCCCTAGCACCACTCCTTCGGCTCCCACACACCCACCCCCCTGAGCGGCAGCTGCAGCACCGGGAGACGGAGGAGGAGTAGGGGATGGCGCATACAATCGGCACCCCCACAACCGCCACCCCCACACTCCCCACCCCCAAACCCTAAAACGGGTGGCATGGGGTAGGAGCGCGGGGGACGGCGAGGGGGGACGGTGCGCGGCCCCCACGGCGCCACCACGGGGCAGCAAGGGGGGTCGCGCACGGCTCCAGGGGTGGCGCGCGGCCCCCAGGGCGCCACTACGTGGCAGCGAGGGGCCGCGCGCGGCTCCCCAGGGCGCCGCGACGAGGTAGCGGGGGGGTCGCGTACGGCTCCAGGGGTGGCGCGCGGGTCCCCGGGGGCGACGAGAGTGTCGACAGGGGTGGCGCGCGGGTCCCCTGAGGCGACGCGAGGGTCGACGGGGTGGGCGCGCAGGTCCAGCGGGGCCGGCGCGCCAGGAAGAAAAGGGGCCGCGCGCCTCGGGGCGCGCGCCAGTGAGCAAATCGCCGTCGCACGCCACAGGGCGTGCGACAGATCGAGTAGCAGCGGAAGCAGGTTGGTGGGCCCACAAGCCGAGGAAGGACAGGCTTTGATAGCATGTCACAAGTATGAGGAAAAGTTTAGAGGCAGAAAGAGTGGTTTGCACTAGCAGCAATTGAGATACATATAGGAAACCCTAGTTGGGTTGTACTCGCTATAGAGTACCCCACTGCAGGCTAGACAATTACATCATTCTGACAAGCAGACCCATCAAGAACTCAAGGATGAGTTTGTGGCGAAGAACCAGAGCCTTGGTGTCAAGATTCAAGTGATCGCGAAGCTCGCGAAAAGGTTACACCTCAAGATATTGAAGATAGTTACATTACTTTGTGTAGTGTAACATTTCACTTGGTGTAGGCCCTAGTGAAGGGTAGTTTCGAGACCCTTCGTGGTTGGGGACAGTGTGGCACTGTTCCACATCACTGTACCTCGGCTCTTGGGGTTTGTAGGAGCTGGGAGTCATTCCCAACTCGTAACTCTTCCCAACTCTTCCTAATTTGTGTTCTAAGACTATTGTGACTCCCATAGTGCCGTTCGTTCAAACCGACACTGTGTCGTCAATACTTGGTGAAATCGTGCGATCTAAATTGCCTATTATAGGCGACACTAAGACGCTCCAGATCCAAGTTGAATGAAGTCGTTTGAAGCTGTGATTAGAACGCTATAAACGTTTAAATCCACTGTGCATAAATCCGACTGTGCACTCTATCTTTCGTTTTAGGCACATTGAAGCCTATTGTGGCTACAACACCGATCGCTCCGTGCCGAATGTACGGTTCGGCGCGAAACGTCGTGTTTCGGGTTGACCTCGAGTCAGCGCGTTGTATCGTCCGGCTGCACACACGATGTCCCTTTAGCTGTCGTAATTCGCCGCAATCACCTGCCGCCGGATCTCCAAATTTAACCATTCCGTGTACGCCTGGATTTTTTCGCCTTCGGTCAGGTCGGGGATGCGGTTGAACAGTAGCTACATCTGCTGCGTGTACTGTGCTACACTACTGTACTGTTTATGCCGATGAATTTGTTGCCGCGCCATGTAGGTCGTATTAATGGGCTTGAAACGTTCGATTTCTCCCCGCGTCCACGATTTCTGCTCGAAACTGAGTCCACGATTTCTCCCCGCGGGCCACGTCAATGTTGTAGATCCACTCGAGTGCCGGTCCACGTAACAGTGTCGCTGCGAGCCGAATCCTTGCTGCGTCATATGTCGGGGTCGAACAGCCAATGGCCTCGAAGTAAATTTCGAGGGTGGCCACAAATCGCCGGACGTCGGATCCCTTCGCGCTTGGATCGAACGCCTCCGGGAGCCTCGGTCGTGCTGCTTCGAGGTTCAGCGATAGTGGTGCCATTGGTCCGTGAAATTTCGGTGTCGCCACTGCTGTCGGTGATATCGCTGCTACGTTCGCTGTTGCTGCGGTGACGAATCCTGGTTGGCTTGTCAGAAGGGCTTCGAGTCGACGAAGCGTCGCCTGCGTCTGCTCCATGTCGGTGCGGAGGCTCGCGATGTCACTCGTGGTCGCGTAGTTGTCGCCTTGGCCCTCCATGCCTGACATTAGCGCGTCCGAAAAACCGAATCGAGGGGGAGCGAAAAACACGGAACCGGTTTTACGTACCCGAAATCGATATTTAACTGCGTTGCCCCCGCGGTTTTTTAAGACTGGTTTTTAGCGGTCGAAAAAACTTCGCGTGTAAACAGGCTCTGATTACCAGGTGTGGGGATCTTAGGATCGAGCTCAAAAAAGATGATTTGAATTGAATGATCACCTGAGTACAACACGAGACTATATATAGGCTCGACATAAGGCAGGTAACCCTGGTGTTACGCGAATGTTCTGAGGGTCGCGAAGCATCCCGAACAGAACCTTCCCAAACTCGGTAGAAAGCAATTCGGCGGCAACCGAATAGCTTGAGTTCGGTACACGTAACCTGGTTCGGTGCCTAACACTATAATAACTGTAGCAAAGCAACGAACCTAGGAATCAAGCAATTCATGCATGCATAAGATAAACCTAAGCTAGGAGTAGCGTAACGGAATAAAAGCAAGCATGAATAACAAGCATAAGCCGTCGTACTCTCACATTTGAGCACTTGCACCAGAATCGGCGGCCACAAGTACCGCCTGGGCAGAAGAGTGGCGACGCTGACGAGAGAGTTGAAGCCAGTTGGGATGGCGACCAGTGTTGCTAGCCAAGAGGGCAATGACATTGATGGGATTCTGCGACTGGAAGCGCTCGGTGAGATAGCAGAGAAGGTCCTTGGCATAGCGGATGTGCGAGCACTGAGGGAGAAGGGTTGGAGGTAGGCAGGCAAGGATGACCTGGCTAGCACGTGCGTTGGCAATATGCCAATCAGCGAGAAGGTCAGAGTGAGATGGAGCAAAATCAGAAGGCATAGGGGCAGAGCGAGGAGAAGGGGTAGCGAGGTGCTCAGTGAGGCGCTTGCGGGTGCTCTCGAGGGATTTAGAAAGAACACAAGCGAGGTCACGGGCAGCAGCATTGTCAGGAGCAGCCGCGGCAGTGGTTTGGGCTGTGGCCGCAATCCGCTCAGTTTCAGCGATAGCAGCACGAAGGCCATCAGCATAGGGATCAGAGGAGGTAGAGGTAGGTGTAGAGGCAGGTTTAGGAATGGCGCCAGAACCACTCTGCTGAGTGACAAACCAGAGGTTAAAGCCACTCACGAGGGTGCCAGACAGCATGCGCTCAAGACAGTTCAGCCAACTGGGGAAGTTGACTCCGCTGCCATCAGGCGCGAGCTGAAGGACCAGCAGAGGGAGGGAGGGGAGGGCGAGAGAAGTCGCCATAAGGAGGAGGAGACAGCTGCAGAGCAGATGAGGGGAGAGGTATAAGAGGCGGAGGAATAAGGGCGAAGCAGTCTGCTGCTGAGCCGCTGAGGGGAGAAAACAAGGGGAGGAGGGATATGGACGGAGTAGTCTGCTGCTGAGCCGCTGAGGGGAGAAACAAGAGGAGGAGGAATAGTGGGGGAGTAGTTTGCTGCTGCGCCGCTGAGGGGAGAAACTAGAGGAGGAGGGATAGTGGCGGATTAGTCTGCTGCTGCGCCGCTGAGGGGAGAAACTAGAGGAGGAGGGATAGCGACGAGGTAGTCTGCTGCTGGGCCGGTGAAGGGAGAAACAAGAGGAGGAGGGAGAGTTGTGAGGGAGTTCGCAGTTGAGCAGTTGAGGGGAGGGTAGTGAGGAGGAGGAAAGATGGGGAGGAGTAACAACTTCAAAAACGCAATCAGCACCAGCTGCAGCAGATGAGGAGAGAAAAGAGGTGGAGGAAAAGGGGGGTGAAAGAGTGGGAGGGGATCGAGAGGGAGAGAGGAGAGGAGGATGGTGAAGGGGCGGATTGGTGGGAAGGGCCTGCCACAAGTGCGTACGAGCTGCGGCAGAAGAGGAGAGAAAAGAGGAGGAGGAAGGGGTGAGATAATGAGGGATGCACAAAGGAGAGAGGAAAGGAGGAGGAGGGTGAGGGAGGGAGGGCGGCGCCGCGGGGGAGGCAGGCGCGCACGCTGCTCGACGAAGCGAAGCGCGCGCTGCGACGGCAGCGCAATGCGCACGCGACGAGACGGGAGGGGGGCGGAGCCGGGGGGGGGGGGGTGGGGGGGGAGGGAGGCTAAGCGCGCTACGAGCAGAAATCGGCGCGCTACCGCCGAGAACGTGAGGAGGAGGAGGCGCGACGAAGAGGGAAGGCGCGGGAGAGCAATATGAACGGGAGGGAGGCGCGCTACAGACCGGAACTGAGTATCCGCGTGACTAAAGTGAAGAAAACCGCAAGGATGCTAAGAGTGACTGTAAAGAAACGAGAAAATAAATAAAAAAGGAAAATTGTCTAGCTAAGTAGTGCGGAAATGGCCTAAGGGCCAGAAACTTTCTAAGAGATGCGGATAAAACGGAAACGCCTAGGACTAGGCTCTGAATACCATGTTAAAGAAAGAGAAGCCATGGATGGCGAGAGGTTTTGGTGAGGTAGAAAAAGTACGACTAGGAGGAGAATGTCGAGATACAAAAGAGAGGGTTGGAAACCCTAATTGAACCTAGGGTGTGTTCGGTTTGTACTAACAATTATGAAATGAACGTAAAATGAACCTGATTGCGTAACTCTCTCTAAGCCCAGAGAAATAACAATATAAGAACACCAAAATAAAGGCCAGAGTGAGCTCTCTGTCAGAACATATATAGCTTATACTTTTGTGTAGGCTATAGTGGGGTATCCCATAGGGGGTACAACCCAATTAGGGTTAGTACTTGTACCCAGTTCATTCATAGTTCATTCATTCTCGTTCATATTTTCTCATGGTATCGAGCAGGTTCCCTCGTGGGAACTGTTCCTAGGGCCCACCGAACTTTTTTTTCCTGCCCGGGGCGCCTTCTGCCCCTGCCCGAAGCGCGCTTGAGTCGCCGCCCTAGCAGCGGCCCGTTGCCGCCCTTCTCAACTGCGGCCCGTCGCGTCGCCCTAGCAGCGGCCCGCCGCTGCCCTTAACAGCGGCCCGCCGTCGCCCTTAGCAGCGGCCCGCCGTCGCCCTTAGCAGCGGCTCGCCGTCGCCCTTAGCAGCGGCCCGCCGTCGCCCTTAGCAGCGGCCCGCTGCCGCCCTAACAGCGGCCCGCCGTCGCCCTTTACAGCGGCCCGCCGTCGCCCTAAGCAGCGGGCCGCCGTCGCCCTTAGCGGCGGCCTGCCGTCGCCCTAAGCAGCGGCCCGCCGTCGCCCTTTGCAGCGGCCCGCCGCCGCCCCAGCAGCGGCCCGCCGCGTCGCCCTTTGCAGCGGCCCGTCGCGTCGCCCTTAGCAGCGGCCCGCCGCCGCCCCAGCAGCGGCCCGTCGCGTCGCCCTTTGCAGCGGCCCGCCGCCGCCCCAGTAGCGGCCCGTCGCGTCGCCCTTACCTGCGGCCCGTCGCCGCCCTTACCCTAGCGGCGGCCCGTCGCCACCCTAGCAGCGGCCCGTCGCCGCCCTAGCAGCGGCCCGTCGCCGCCCTAGCCGCCGCCCGACACCGCCCTAAGGCGGCCTGACGCCGCCCTTCTCCCTGCGGCCCCATCGCAGCCCTACCAGCAGCCCTTCGCCGCCCTCTACTGCGGCCTCTGCCGCCCTCACCTGCGGCCCTGTCGCTGTCACCTGCGGCCACGCCGCCCTCTACTGCGGCCTAGCCACCTCTCACCGACAGCCGAGCCGCTCAGCAGCCAAGCCGCCGAGCGGCCCAGCAGCCGAGCCGCCCAACAGCCCAGCCGGCCAGCAGCCAAGCCGCCCAGCAGCCGAGCCGCCCAGCAGCCGAGCCGCCCAGCAGCCAAGCCGCCCAGCAGCCGAGCCGCCCAGCAGGCGAGCCGCCCTGCAGCCGAGCCGCCCAGCAGCCGAGCCGCCGAGCTGCCGAGCCGTCGAGCTGCCGAGCCGCCCTACTTTCGAGCTGCCCGACCTACCCAGTCCGGTGAGCACAGCGCCTCTTTCACTACACAGCCCTCACCCTACTGTTTGCACTACTAGTCGACTGTGGTCATGGCTACCCCTAGTGCCCTCGCTTTTGACGCTGAGGGTCAGGCCATTGACTTCGAGGTCTGGGTAGATGACCTGCAGCTTTTCTTACAGTGCGATAGGGCAGACGGCCTTTCTCTCTTTGACCTCACCTCTGGCGCTTCCCCTGCCCCTGCTGCTGATGCTGACGCCACTGTTCGTTCCCAGTGGGCCACGCGCGACGCTGCTCCACGTCTTGCTGTGCGTCGCCACCTCCCTACCTCCGAGCGTGCACACTTTAGTCAGTACAAGAGTGCTCAGACCTTGTACGACGCTGTAGTTGCGCGCTACTCCTCCCCTGCCACTGCTGCACTGAGCCGTCTCATGCTACCTTACCTCTTCCCTGACCTTGCTGCGTTTCCCACAGTCGCTGACCTCATTACGCACCTCCGCACTAGTGACACTCGCTACCGCGCTGCGCTTCCTGCTGACTTCTGCACCAAGAATCCCCCCCCCATGTACATCACCCTCTACTTCATAGTCACCCGACTCCTTGACTCCCTTAGAGTGGTCAGGAACCACTTCCTCGCAGTGTGCCCCACCACTCTCACCATTGACCTCCTCGAGAAGTCCCTCCTAGCGGCGGAGAAGAGCATAGTCGCTGTAGGAGCTTCTCATCGTGACCCCAGCACCCCTGTCTTTGAGGGGTGTTCTCCCTCCCCCCTCTTGCCCTCTGTCGCTTCTGCTGCTGCGGCCGACCTCGTTGGTGTCGGTCGGCGCTGCGTCTGCCCCTTCGGAGAAGCGCCGCACAGGCAGGGGCAAGGGGGGCAAGGGCGCTGGAGGAGCTGGCGGGGGCGGTGGAGGTGGCGGTGGAGGCGGCGGAGGGAGTGGCGGTGGTGGAGGGAGTGGTGGAGGGGGTGGGGGTACCGGTGGCAGCAGTGGAGGCGGAGGCGGCAGCGGTGGCGGAGGGAGCGGAGGAGGCGGTGGTAGCGGAGGCGGCGGTGGTAGTGGAGGCGGCGGTGGTGGCGGAGGCGGCGGAGGTGGCGGAGGAGGCGGAGGTGGCGGTGGAGCTGGTCGCGGGTCTACGCAGAGGAGTGGCTCCGGTGGTGGTCCGCGACAGCAGCAGCAGCGTGGTCGTGAGACCCAGTCCCCTCAGTAGCTCCGTGAGTGGTACACTGCACGCCAGCGAGGTGGGGGTTTTGGTCCCTACACCTACGTCCTGCGCACCGGCGACCGTGCGGGTGAGCAGTGTGGGGGTGCGCACCCCACCCAGCGCTGCTTTGGCCACCTGACGGACGTGTGGCGTCACCAGTTCCCTGAGGCCACAAAGATCCCTCGCTGGGGCGAGCTGTCTAGGGCGGGGGTAGCCATCTATGATCTTGATTTTGATACTATCTTGTCTGCTATGTATTCTGTGACTATTAGTGATGAGGGTGACTGTTACCGGTGCTTCCCGCCCGATCCGGGCATTGAGACTGCTGCTCTAGGTACTGGTGCGGCTGCTGCCCTAGGTGCTTGCGACGCTGCTGCTCTAGGTGCTAGTGTGTCTGCGTCCTCAGGTACTGGTGAGTCTGCGCTCTCAGGTACTGCGTCGGCTTCGGCCTCCCTCACCTTCACCCTTGACTCTGGGGCTTCTCGCTCCTTCTTTCGGGACCGCACCACACTCACGCCGCTTAGTCGGCCGGTTGCGGTGTCTCTGGCTGACCCCTCTGGGGGTCCTGTCCTGTCTCACTTCTCCACAGTCCTCCCGTGTCCGGCGGCTCCCTCTGGCACCCTGTCTGGTCTCTACCTCCCCTCATTCTCTACGAACTTGGTGAGTGGTGCTGACCTACAGGATGGGGGAGTGCACCAGTTCACTCCTGCGCGTCAACGAGTGACGCACTGCACAGAGGCTCGCACAGGCCGACACCTGGCTACGTTTACACGTCACCCGGGGTCGAACTTGTACACACTGACCACTGCGTCTCCTTCAGTTGCTGAGTCTGGTAGGGTGTCTGCGTCAGGTCAGGTGTTTGCTGCAGCGTCCAGGTCTGGTCCTGAGTCTGCCCCCTGTTCGTGTCGTCTCCTCTCTCACGAGACTCTCCTCTGGCACCACCGCCTTGGTCACCCCTCTCTGCTTCGGCTCAGAGGCATGGCCTCTCGTCTTCTTGTTTCTCGTCTCCTCGCCGCGGAGAGTGTTGCGCGGGGGATCGTGCTGGCCTGCCCGACCACGAGGGGACGGGCGGCGAGGAGGGCGAGGACGCGCAGGGGAGCGCTGATTCCCCTCCCTGCGCTGAAAATGTTCGCGATGCTCGGGAGAAGGGCGGCGAGGAGATGGCTGCCGAGGGGGCTGACGTGAAGGCGAACGCCCGCGCTCCTGCCGCGGCTGACCGTCAGGACGGTTCGACGCAACACGCGCAGGCGCCCTCGAATACTCCGGGGAGGTGGGGCGCGCGGCGGGCCGATGGGGAAGAGTTTGCACCCGCTCGAAGCGGCGGACTGGCTCGCTTGCGGAGGGGTGCGTAAGAAGACACGGACGAGGCACGGCAGGCGCAGGCTCTGGCAGCGCGCTCTCCGCGGAACCCTCCAGCTCCGGATCCCGTCTCGCGGATGGGTTCATCACCCCCGATCGTACCGCAGCCGACGCCAGCGCGCCAACGAAGCGAGGCCGAGGTGGTCGCGGCGCCGCAAACGGGGCGCGAGGGAGCTGCAGTTGTGAGAGCAACGCGCGGGATCCGCGTAGGACGCGGCAGCCGCCGCGGACGAAGGGGAAGCGAGCGAGGACGAAAAAGTGGCGGAGCGCGGGGTTCAAACCGACTCCGCACAGGAGCAAGCGGCTACGCGAGAAACGCGGAAAGGCTGATGCGAAACGGCGCGGGCGGCGAGGAACCACCTAGCGAGGAGGCAGAGGAGGAAGTGGAGAATGAGGGAAGTGACGAGGGTGACCCTGCATTTAACCCTGAAAGAGAGGGGATGTTGGGTGAAGAAGCTGAGGAGGACGAGGACGAGTTGGAACTCCTGCTTCGGGGAGAGGAGCTCCCCGAAGCAGGTGTCCGAGGCGAACCTGCCAACTGAACCACAGCCGAAGGTGTGGGCCGAAATCCAGCCCCGAGCCGAGCCGCATCTGCAATTCCAATCCCCAGAAATCGGACCGCGAGGCAGAACCGAACCGCCCCCAACATTGCGGTTACCACCGCTCCAGCCCATAACGCGGCTCCTGCGCCTGCCACCCCCGCCCCAATCATCAGCGCTGACGACCTGGCAGGCCGTCTGGACCTCTTCGCTGACATCGCCAACTGGGACCTCTGCCCGCTGCGCGACAGCAGACAGCCGCCCCTTGCCCGCCACCCACCTCGCCCACTTCGCGAATCCTTCGTCATCTGCCTGCTGACCCCACTACTGCACCTCGCCAAAAACCCTGACTCCTCACCTGGTTGGAAGCTGCTGATGTTTCTCCCGCATATTCTCCTGCGCACGTCATTCGCACGAAAACCAGACTGGAAGGCGATGGGCGACAGACTGACGAGATTTTGCCAAGGGCAATGGCGCGGCCTGTACGACGAGGCGGGAGATGCAGTAAACAACAACCCCCAACCACGCCACGTACCTGACACCACGGGAAAGCTGGAGAGGGCTGAGGGATTGGCCAAAAGGGGAAGTCTAGCAAAGTCTCTCCAATCGCTGACAGCCACGCCCGTCAGCACGCCAAGCCCTGAAGTATTGAGTGCACTGACATCCAGGCACCCAAGGGCCACCGCGGCTATACCGGACTGGGTGCACGACTTCGCCCCTGAGACTCTACCCTCAATCACAGCTCGCGACTTCAGGAGGCTGCTAGCTCGATGCCCCAACGGCGTTGGCGCAGGTCCTTCAGGAACTACCTTCGAGCACCTGAGGGATGCGGCCCTGGGGAACGCCGACGTCCTCCTGCAGTTACACGCGCTTATTAACACAACACTAGCTGGTAAACTGAACGCCGACGCAGCAGATCTACTCACAGCATCCCGTCTACTAGCCTTCTCGAAACCACAAGGCGGAACGAGGCCAATAGCCATCGGTGAATGCTTGCTGCGCATTGTTACAAAGGCAGCGCTTTTTCTGGCTGCTCCCGAAGCGCGCGATCACTTCACCCCGCTACAATTTGGAGTGGCGATCGCTGGGGGCATTGAGGCAGCAATACACGCGGCACGCACCTACCTGGAGGAGTTCCCTGGAGCAACGGCCCTCTAGATTGACCTGGCAAACGCCTTCAACGCAGTGGAGCGCGCGGCGGTGTTCGAATGACTGAGGGGCACGAAGCTTGACACCCTGGTGCCTCTCGTCCGCCTCTCATACAGCCGCCCTTTCTGAAGGAATATATTAGAGAGCGTAGCGATAACGAGAGAGATTCTGCTATGGGAATGATGTTGCGCCAGCAACTTGGTAGAGTTTCGGTAGCGTTTGCCTCTAAGGACTTGGTGAGAATTGAAGTAGCATTTTGGACTTCACTAGGAATATAGAAAATATATTCAACACACAAGCAAACACAAACATATATATAGGCAGGCGAGGGTTTCACAAGAGGTTGCGTGGGCGCTGCGAGTAACCCAACCCCACGAAAGTGGTGTGTGGGTGGGTGAACGCGCCCCGCACATTTCCAACCCAACTCGGCACCGGAATGTCTCACCGTGCACGCTACTCCTGCCAACACAGCAAGTGAGCAGCATGCCTCACAAGCAAGGCACCTACGACCCCCATGACTCGTCATTCCTAGCACCGATTCCGCCGAGTTCGCTGCAGTAGCTCACAGTCACCCGTAGTTACTAATGACCGCCACCGAACTCGTGCGTCGGTGCCAAGTAGACTCAGTCGTTAGGCGCCGACCTGCCAAGTCAAAGGTCATCGAGGGCCCTTGCTGTCGTAGGGCCCTCTAACACTTTCGCCCTCTACCTTGACCACGATTTCGATGCGGAGCCTTTACAGAGCGCACGAGGCGTGCGCCAGGGTGACCCGCTAGGTCCCATGCTGTTCGCGGCCAGCATCCATCCATGTCTCGTTGCAACGGCGGCGGCTCACCCAGGGGTGGTGCTTCTCGCGTACGCAGATGACATCACCCTGCTAGGCGAGACCGCGAGCTGCACGGCGGCCTTCAATCACCTCACAGAAGCCCTTCTCAGCCACGGCCTGTCTCACAATCCCGCGAAATGCGAAGCATGGTCCGCCACAACCCTGGAGCCCGCCGCTCTGCCCCACGGCGTCACAATTTCCCGGGACGGAGTCCGCGTCTTGGGCAGCCCGATTGGGCCCCCCACTGGCTGCGCTGCCAGAGTGCAGGAACGCCTTACTGCTGCGGCTGAACCACTCCCGCTCCTTGTCAGAATGAGAAACGAGAAATGAGGAGTGACTAGCAGGAACAACAGTACAAATATGTCAAACCCTAATCTGGTGTACCCCTTATGGTGTGACCCACTACAGCCTAGAACCACACAAACATATAAATGTTTGACACACCCCCATAGGCAAAGTGTGGGAGACCTAGGGGTCACAAGACCAGTCAAGGCAAAACAAGGCAAACAAGCTCAGGGTGGATCTCGAGGATTCCACACAAATTCCGAGCACAAGCAAGCGGTCACAAGACCAGTTCACATGCAGTTTTATAATAGAGCAAGAGGTACAATGATCACAACCTAACAAGGTAAACATGCAGGTATATATATAATGATCACAGTACAGGTAAAGTCAAGAAGTAAGTAAGTGAGAAACAGTCGGCACAAGGCCTAGAAGAGTGCAAAAACGCTGATGGTCAACAGGCGGAAGCGCCTTGGTGAACACATCAGCAGTGTTGGCCTCAGTGGCCACGTAACGCAGAAGAAGCTGACCACGCTGCTGTAGCTCTCGAGCTAGAAAGTAACGCAGAGCAATGTGCTTCGTCCTGTGCTCCAGTCTGTGCTCCTGGCACAAGGCAATGGTTGCCTTGTTGTCGACGTACAGCACTGGAGGAGAACGAGGCTGCTCTCCAAGGTCAGTCAGCAGGTAGGTGAGCCAGCGAAGCTCCTGGGCAGCCATGGCCGTGGCGTAGATCTCAGCCTCACAGCTGGAGCTGAGAACAGAAGAAGAACGAGTAGAACGCCAAGAGACAGAGCCAGAGCCAAGACTGAAGGTGTAACCCTGAGACGACCGCTGAGTAGCCTGGTCGTCTGCCCAAGAAGCGTCTGAGTGCCCAGTGAGAACAGGCCGGTCTCGCCCTCCAAGCACTAGCCCCATGCCCGACGTACTGCACAAGTAGCGCAACACCCTCTTAGCTGCATCCATGTGCTCCTTCCGGTGACGGCCGGGAGCAACATAGCGTGCTAAGATGCTGAGAGGGTATGCTAGGTCAGGTCGAGTGCAGGTCATCAGGTACATGAGGCAGCCCACAAGCTCTGGATACGGACCACTCGACTCTACGGACTCATCCGAAGGCAGAGCTGAGAGCGAGTGACCCGTAGGCAGAGGAGTGGACTGGGGCGAGGAGTACGTGAAGCCGAAGCGCTGAAGGACCTGCTGCACCATGTGTGACTGAGTCAGGGTAATGGTGCGGCGTGCTCTGTCCCGGGTGATCCGCAAGCCAAGATAGCTTGTCAGTTCACCCAGGTCTGTGCACGTGTGTCTCTTCTACAGCTCGGACTTCACGTGGGCGAGTGCGGCAGTGTCCGCAGTGGCAAAGACCAAGTCGTCGACGTACACGAGGATGTAGAACGGCAGCAGCGAGGTGTCGGTGCGCAGAAACAGCGACGGGTCAGCAGTAGAAGGAGCAAACCCAAGAGCCGCAAGTGTAGTCCTCAGTGTGTCGTGCCACTCACGCGGCGCCTGGCGGAGACCGTAGACTGGCCGCCGGAGGCTCCACTGGGTGCCAGGAGGGAACGACCCAGTGAAGCCAGGTGGGCGGCGCAGCCAGATCTCCTCGTGCAGGCTGCCCTGCAAGAAAGCTGTGCTGAAGTCAAGAGAGTGGAGCTCGTAGTCACGCTGAGCGGCGACGTGTAGCAGAACCCGAAGAGTGGTCATCTTCGGGGTCGGGGAGAAGGTCTAGAAGAAGTCAACTCCCTCTCGCTGACTGAAGCCTCGTGCAACGTAACGCGCCTTGAAGACAGGCGGAGAGCCTGGCGGCCGCTTCACCCTGAAAATCCACATGCCACTGACGATGTTCGCCCCAGGTGGGGGAACGTCGTCGACGTAGGTGCCTGTGGACTTCCAGGAAGCCATCTCTGTGTCCATGGCTGACTGCCACTGAGAGGAGTAGGGACCGGCCATCGCCTCTGCGTAAGAGCGTGGGGTCGGGATGTCTGGTGCATCCGGGTCTCCCTCAGGGGCAACAAGCATGGACACGAGATGGGGCAAAGCAGCGGCAAGGCAACCAAACTCCTCCTGCCTGTCCTCAAGGACGTCCGTGCCAAGAGCACACTCACCCCCGACGGACGGAGGACAGGCAGACTCAGACTCAGCAACAAGACTCGCTGCGTAGTCTAGACGACACGCAGCTGCAAAGTCGACAAGCTCAGTGACTAGGG